GCAACCACCTGCAAATAAGATAAAAAAAGGTAAAAATACATTTTATTTATTGTCACTAGTCAAGTACTAGTTACAATTTTAAACATACGTTACTTCAATCAGTAGCATTTTGTTTTATATAATGCTGTACATAGGTACCTGCAATGTGGTGCACTTTTCTTTCTACCAGTGCTATTCGTGAGCAAACATCTTCTAAGCGGCTGAGTCGTTCCTGCATGTGAGCACATCTCTGATGCTCTGCCTGTCGCATGTGATGTATCTAAAACAGAAATCAAAATATTTGAACCTTAGTGTCAAAACATTTCTTCTTTTGACAGGAAGACGAGGGCAAGAAAATTATTTCGGGATCGTTTCAGGGTAGAGTAGTGAATGAGGAGCCATGGTAAAAACTCAAAAGTGAGTTTCCGACCGTGACAGGACTCGAACCTGCAATCTTCGGATCCGAAGTCCGACGCCTTATCCATTAGGCCACACGGTCGTTGGTGGGAGGGAGGCGCGCGGCAGGGTTTATGACCGCGGTTGGCCGCGCGTCCCGCAGCCGCGCCGTTGCGAGCCGCGCCGGGCGGACGCCACCGCGCACGCGCGCGGGAGCTTCTCCGTCACCCCTCCCCCACCTCTCCCATTCCCTCCTCACTTCCCTCCGCCGATCCGCGAGAAGAGCTCCAGCCGGGCCCCTCTAATCCTGTCCCTGATTCCGTCGACGTGTCCCGGACTTTTGGACTTCTAAACGCGGGAACAAGCACTTTAGATCCCGACACTGACAGTATATATTTCATTCAAGGGGGGATAATTCCCGCCGTTCAGTTTCCACAAAAACGGACTTCGGCAAAGTCTGACTCGATTAATTAACACATTGCGAGGAGAGGATTGCTGACTCCCGCGCGGTAGTTTTTTCCCCCCCGATCTGGTAAGTTTGGGCTATGAGGCGGTGGCCCGTAGCCGCTAATGGCGAGAACACCCCCTCACCCCCACCCCACTCGTGCCTGCTCCGCCCACGCCCGCCGCGCCACCGCCATGACAGCTAAGAATTCCCCGATGGGTAATCGCTTCATCACCGAGATAGGGCGAGAAGAGCCTGGTTTGCAGGACGACGTGAGGAGGGAGGGAGGGAGGGGAGGGGGCTGTCTCACCTCCGTCTGCAGGGAGTCTATCCTGGCGCTGAGCTTGGCGACGGCGTTGGCCGCCGCGGCCCCGGACGTGAGCTCCACCTCCGAGTCCTCCGCCTCCTCCTCCAGCTCGTGCCTCTGCCGCACCAGCAGAATCTGGGACGGTAGAAGAAAACATCGACGCGATTAAACACAGAAGAAATGAAACCGGGTCAAATGGCGAACAATACCGACGGAGCTGTCGTCGTATCGGTCACACCCACTTGTTCTAATTTGGCCAACTTCTTGGCGAGGAACTCGAAGTCGGCGTCGGTCGGGTCTGGCGCGATCCCCGGCGGCTTTCCTGCACAGAGAGCATCAGGGGCGTCATGAGCGTCCGCAGGGGGACGGTCACCGACAGGTCACCGTCAGGTCGCCGAACCAGGGAGCAGGCGATGTGGTGATACGTACCCAGAGGCTGGCAGCTCCGGCCGTCGGGCTGCAGGACGAAGCCGGGGCGGCAGTCGCAGCGGAAGCTGCCCGGCGTGTTGGTGCAGATGTGGTCGCAGCGGCGCTCCACCGACTCGTCGCACTCGTCCACGTCTGCGGGGAGGACAGGCGGCGGGCACAGGTCACGATTAATGGCGACAAAGCGACAGGGGGGCGGGGCAGAGCCGGCAGAGCGTGCGCGTGCGAGAGAGAAAGAGAAAATGAGAAAGGCAAAGTGAGTCTGCGGCGGCGCGGGGCCCGATACCGCGCGGTAATTTATTACTTTGCTAATGAACACATGAATTCGAGTCAGGTCGTGTAATAAACGCACGCGATAAATAAACGCCACTCTCGGATGTTCGTTCAGAGCGGCGCGGTCCTTTGTCTCGTTCCACCGGCTCCCGCGTATTCTTTTACTCATTCATTTAAATTTCAAAAAATCTTGACTTTTTTGACATCTACAAGGTGGCTGACTCATGCTGCGCACTGTAGTAATTTGTGTTGTACCGCATGCAAGGGTGCGGGCAGGTTGCTTACTTGCACGGGGCCGTAAGGAGCCGTGGGCAGGGAGGATAGGCAAACCCGCCCGCACCAGTGCATGCGGCGCAGCATAACTACGAAAGTGCGTGAAAGTGAGTCAGCCACCTGGTACAACGACGTTGTCCACCCGGCCTCCTGAAAAGGTGGCGCATTCATAGAGGAGTTTCATTTAAAACGGTTCCATAGATGTAATGTTGGGAGGGAAGTTCAGCCGATTCCTGGGAATAAGCAATGCTTTTCACAGCCCCCGGTGCGTCGCCCCCTCTGTTGTCGTGTACCCACCCGCCTGGCAGCGGTGCCCCGTGTACCCAGGCGCGCACAGGCACGAGTCGCCGCGCTGGCCCGGGCCGCCGGGGCCGCCGCCCAGCCGCTGGCACGTCCCCCCGTTCTCGCAGGGAGGCTGGCACACGGCTGCAACAACAACAACAGCAGCAGGCAGCAGGTTGAGCGCCAGGAGGGCCACAAACACGGCGAGCAAACGGTTGTAAACTCTGAGCTCCTCGTGTACTCACGCGAGTCGCAGCCGAAGGGCGAGTGGGAGGCGCGGCGCGCGGCGGCCCAGCCCGGGCAGCACGCGTACGCCGTGCGGGCCGACACCCTCGTCCGCAACACCTCCCTGTAGGCCGTCTCGCACACCATCCTGGAAGCAATGAGGCCCCACGGCCGCCGGCCCCACGGCCCGTTACACTCTCTCTCTCCCTCCTCCGCGAATCGTCCCGGAATCAACGGCTATCGATCCCTCCCTCCCCGCCCCGCCCCAC